CAATTCACAGAACGTGTCATTTATAAAATTTAAAAGAATGATAAGTAAGTTACTAACTGACTACAGTGATATATTTATGTAATATTTAGCATAATTTCCTACACCTTAATAAATTGCGCAATTGTATTAAACATATACCTAAGTATAATACTGGATAATTTTTTTACCGTTTGGTAAAAAATAGGGTGTAACAGGTGAACGGAGTAGAAGCCTATGGCACTGATATTTTACAATTTTTTACATTAACATATTATGAAATTAATCTATCAATTAATACTACTAATTTGAAATAAACTTTCGGTACTAAAAAAAATAAAATCAGTTTTGAACTAAATAAATAAATCAATTAAAAAAATACGCACCCTACTTTACGAGCGACAATAAAACAGTGAATTTGTAACGCACTTGCCGTATCCGCCGTAGGCCTCTTTGTCCTTTTCCATTCGCAGGGTCGTAGGCACGAAGGCAAGGCCGCCCGCGCTCTCATTTCATTGACCTATGATTAGCTACGGCATGACGTCGTATTTTTCGTGTTTATGTTTCCGCGTGTGTATCGGCCGCCCGCTGTTAGTTATCGTAAGCATGAACCAATACTCTATTGTCGACTACTAGATGGCGAGATTTTATTTCTTGTCTGGTGAAAACATAGACGGTGCGACGAGTCAATATTTACCCGCGTCGGAATTTACAATGAGCGCTGAGTTTCTAAAACCCACACACAATCAAAGAGCATGCACATCAAGTTCGTTTCAGTGTTAACGTTTGTGCGGCAATCATTAACGACCACATCATTGGTTCAATATGGCTTAAAGGTCGACCGACGGGAGTAACGTATCTGCAAATGATACGTTCCGTCATAGACACAATGTTGTCAAATGTTCTTCTCAGCTATCTGCAAGGAATGTACTTGAGGCACGACGGATGTCAAAGCTTATTATGAACGATCTGTGCGCGCATATCTGGACAGCCAATTCGGTGATAGAAGACAGGTCGCGGTGGACCCGTGAACTGGCCGGCGAGGTCACCAGACCTAAAACCTCTAGACTTTTATTTGTAGGCCAAACTAAGACGATTAGTGTACACAGAAGAAGCACAAAGTGTTAGTGAAAGTGTAACAAGCAAAAAAACACGTGCTAGTTTGTGTTTAGAAACAAACTCTAGACATTTTTACTGCGAACAATAATGTAGTATAATTTTGTAAATATCAATCAGTGTAGTTAGTGAATAAAGTTGATTTCAATTTTTTAAATACGCCCAAGATGTTGCGGTATAATGCATTATAATGCATGGTAAAATTTAACATGTTATTAGCCCGTAAAAGTATGAATAAAAGATCGAAATCACAAAATAATAAGCTGAAACGAAAGGTTTTTGGTTCCGGCGGAAGTGGCTTCGGTTTCATTCGGTCGGCACGAATGTATGTCGCAACCAAATAAGAAACAAGACGTATTAATAAACGCCTAGTCGTAATACACATCATGTAATGCTCAATCAGCTTTTTACGTTCTACAATGTGGCTGATAATACTGAATGTTAAGTACCATAAAACCAACAAATGCAGCGGGTTGACTTTTACACGGCAACATTTAACAGTGCTTTTGCATTGTGGCTAGAAATTTTGTCGTAAAAAAGTGGACCTAACTAGTCGTTCTGTAATCAGGCTAGACATTGTCTGCCGTTTTAGTCAACGTATCGTAACGTCATTCCGGCTGAACGTCAGTAATCTGCATTCATAAACGGCGCAGCACCGTATCAAAAAACACTAACTGGAAGCATTAGGAAGGCAAGTATTGGTGCTAGGTCTTTTTGAGCACACCTGATTCTAAATATTGGCTGTAACGATGTGTCGCCCATCCCCACTCAGCCACCTGGCGCAAAGAAATATGCATGCGTCTCGCTCGTGTTTATAACCTTCATACACTAACAATCGTAGCCTACGCCGCGCCGTTTGAAATAACATCGCCTATTTTAGTTTTACACAAATGCCATAAGATCAATTGTTTTTAAGTATTTTTTTAGATATTCGAAAAATTTGCATTATCAGTTATATTTTACAAATACTTTCGTGGATAGCTTCTACTCCACTCACACAAAACACCATATTATTTTCCAGACGGTAAAAAAGTCACCCAGTATAATATTACTTTTTGGGAATTGGTATTGTTTACATGTTAGGTACTCCTGTTGTAATTTAATTTATTTTATTTTCCAGACGTTTCGAGCACTTTACAGCACTCATGGTCACGGAGGTGACTGAGGTGTTCGACGTCCCAATATCATAGTTAACCACGGCTAGCTCCAGATTAATTAACATTGGAATTAGTAGTATATTTCCTTGGTGTACAAAATATTTTCTCATTTACTATAATTTTTTTTATTTTTGCACCTATCACAATATTTCCATACGTCCCGGGTGGTATTACGTTTTATTTCAGTAGTCAATTTTTTAAAACTTTTCTCACCTAAGCTACGAACGTAACTATATTATAAACATCATTCTAATTATTATTTTTGAAATAAACGAATTTCACCTGACTTAGCCGATCAGTCGGTGTACCATTCCCGTAGACCGCACCGCACCTTATTACACAGTAACAAATCCGGCAATGTAAGAATAAAACATCAAGAAAATAAATAGAAGAAAACTCTGAAGAAGTGTTATTATTGCTCACCCTACTGCTACTGCATGCTCTCCAGTTGACATCCCGCCATTGAATCCGCTCGCTGTAACCACTCACTCACGAGCAACAATGTTGGTCGTGACTCACACATGTGGAGCGTCAATGGCGGGATGTCAACTGGAGAGCATGCAGTAGCAGTAGGGTGAGCAATAATAACACTTCTTCAGAGTTTTCTTCTATTTATTTTCTTGATCTTTTATTATTACATTGCCGGATTTGGAAGTACGTGTAAGTTAGATGAGTAACTAATATTATTTTTTAAAAATTGTATTGATGTCCAGCGGCCAAGGCGTCAAATTCCGACTGTAGGAACGGGACAAATGCAAAAATACCGATACAAAAATAATCATAAATAAAATACTATAATAATAGAGTAAAAATATACAACATAATTATATCGATACCGTAATATATACACGCAGTAGGTGCCTCTAATAAATAAATAAATATAAAATCTATCATAGGTACATACTTTACGCTATCTTTGACCAAAGCTATTTTTATTGAAAACAACTTTGTCATAATATTCACGATACATCGGAATTATAACACAAAACGTAATTTTCGCTCATTGGGCCTTGTAGAATATAAAAATTTGTACTTTTTTTTACATGATTTATAGTGAAGTGCTACTTCTTATTAGTTTGTGATGAAAACTAACACTTTACATTTCATTTTAGTTACTTCTGACTACTTTATTTCCCACGTGAACGACACAGTATTTGAAATGCAAATTTTATAAACGAGACAAAATATAAGCAAATAGCTTTTAAAAACAAAGAATTTCTTTACCTTTTATTTAAAAAACAAATAACAAAGTTACTTTTTTATACCTTCTATTTTTTTTATTAAGCTATTGCATAGCTTCTATCGCAGGCCTTGAGCGCGGGGACCGAATCCAGAAATTCCGTAAAGAAAAAAACCTCACGCTCCCCACTCCGACGGGCACGGAGGTGTGGCGTTGAAAGCCGTGCATTGCCTAACGTCGTTTTAGTTCGGCAGACTTCGGCACGGTGTTTGTGTGCATGTACACCAGCTGCTAACTCAATGATAAAAATTCCTGAATAACCTACATGTATTGTAAGATATTAAAAATATTTTAAACAATATTAACTTCTCATTTATTCAATAAGAGAAAAAAAATTGTTTTCTTATCGGTCACCACGCTCAAAAAGTGTAACTTGATTTCATATCAAAGACTTAACTGCATAAATAAAATAAATAAATAATTATAATTGCATAAGTTGATACAAAATGCTATGCAATAGCTTTACCGCGGCAGTCACCGAGTGCCACACGTATTTTTAATGTCTCTTGCACTCACGCGGCGAATAAAATAGATTGAAGTATATAAAGTAAACGCGATAGGTAGGTAAAGGCGGAAACTCGTCGTTTGAAGTAAATCCTCTTAATTAAGAGAAGCGTAATTTGGTAACGAAACGAATTCTCAAAAATTTAGATATATTTTATTATTAAAATAAAGTTTGTAGCATAATTGCAAATATCTGTAGGGCGCGCTCACAACATTTTTACGATAATCAGGATTCGAAAAAATTGACATCGTGGTCTAGTTTCATACTTTTTAGTATATATATAGAATGGGTCCCACATATATGCAATAAATGAAACCATATACTTGTTATCGCCTTTGCTGACGATATACAAAAAATGAACGTAATCGGTCCAGTAATTAGGTCAAAAAGTAGAGTTTTAATTTTAAGCAAATTTGAACACTCTATAGAATTGGGTCACTAAGTCAATGATTCAATGAACTTGAATCCTTGAACATTAAAAAGCGACGTTGCCACGCAGTGCAAACTATTGGTATTGCGACATATCGACAGCGGTGTCTTTTGTCGGCGTGCCACCCGCGTGCAACGTTGTCACTCTTCCAAGGGGTCAAGGTACGTTGTCTAAACAGAGTGTTCACTTTTACTGAATTTATTTTAATATTTATTTTGTTTGAAAATTTCACTTTTTTATTTTACGGGTTTTAATTTAATATTTAATTTTTCTACACTTCTACGGACTAGTATTACTTGTGGTTTCATTTATTGCATATATGTGGGACCCATTCTGTATATATATATATATATATATCATATATATATATATATATATATATGGTTCCGAGTAAACTTAGTGATTATATACTCTTTGGTTCTAAGGCGTCCCTTCTAAATATTACTATACTCTTTGGCGCGGTCTACAAGGCATTTTGTGGAATCCGAAAGGATTCTCGAGCTTCTAAAGGTTAAGGTGTAAAATTAAGTATAAGTATATAAAAAAATTGTAAAATAGTGATTATCAACGCTAATGTTACCTGGCAGGGAATGGATGCGCTAGTTGCGTGTCAGCCGCAAGTGCCAGCAGTCGCGCGCCCGCCTTCAGGCCTTGTATCCTCGCCACTGACAGTTTATCTGGACCACTCTGGCGGAAACACAAAAACACACATTTGTATGAAACATTTAAAAAAAAATAACTTAACACACTAAAGGCTTACAGTTTGTTGAAGCTTTATTTTAAGCCCCCTCTCTAGTACCGTAGTCACAAGAGTACAAGTTAAGGAGTACAGACTGTGTTTTAAAACGTGTCCATAGAAAACCGTTAAATAAGGGTAGCGCCACAATAGCTACGGGCTAAATTTTAAAGAACGTGCCGAAAAATATATAAATAAAATTATTTTAGATTTTAGAGCTACTGATCAGTTTATCAGCACACTTAAACCGACGACAACTGTTAAGTTCATTTCATCCCAGTAGCTACTCCAGCGCTGTTGTGGAGAGTTTTTGAACTGTTATTTACTGCTTACAGATGGCCACTTTTTCAACTATTCTACTTGTTGTTGAGTTGGTAATCCTTACTTCTACATTCCATAGCAAGTACAAACAAGCGTCAAGACAGCGGCTGTGTTTAGCAGAAAAAAAGCGCTAGGAAGCACTTGTAAGCAAAATGGCAATTGCTAAGCGGTAAGTGCTATCAAATGGTAAATAGCTATTTTCCTCTAGGATGCTAAGTTAGCTTTAACCGGGGAACCTAACCTAATTTAAATATATGTTTGTAAAAGTATTCATATTAAAAACTTACCAATCATGAATGATATATTTGGACTGACATTATTATTTATTTTAATATTACTTGAAACTAATTTCACAAAACAACTTATAAACTCTACTTCAAAACAAAGAAAATAAATAAGCAGTCAGTGCTACTGAAGTTAGCAAACGTGTCCTGGCCGAAAACTGTATAGTTTGTTTTTCAGCGCTAGTAAGTGCTTTCTAGCGCTTTTTTCTGCTAAACACAGCCAGCGTCTTACTAATAACATCAAGAAAATAAAACAACAGCGATTACTAAGCTATGGCAAAAATTCAATATTTTTTTATAGAATAAGTGACAAACGAGCACCCAGTCCACCTGATGGTAAGTGGATACCGTGACCCATAGACATCTATAGTTATCCTCGATTAAGAATTAAAATGCAGATGCGTTGTCACCCTTGAGGATTAAGAAGGAATGCCTCGTTTCCAGTAAAAATGGTCTCCGCTTCTCTACACTCACAATACTAGCTTTAGTCCGCGTGGAAGTTAGGCATACAGCGTTCTCTATAGTCAATTTTGAGGATAAAAGGTGGCCCAACCTTTTTAATGTTTCCAGCAATCTCAATACCACACATTGTCAAAATCGGTTGAGTGGCTTAGTGTTTCTTTACATAGCCTTTTTCCCCAAGTTCGTGCTTAATGTGGCCCTAGTCGATGGCATGAACTAAGTGGTGGGCGGGGTTAATATGCATGCTATCTCAGCCGACATCACGTGCGAAAGCGAAAGGCATGACGATTTACAACAAAACGAGAGCGCGGAATTTTATAAACAGACCTTTGGGAATCTGGATATCGTGAAAAATCTATTGAATGTATCTGTTCAAAATAAAATTATTTGCACTTTTGAAGGCCTAATCTATCCCTGTATGGTAACTGTTTTTCAATTTTCGTTCTTATGATATTTATTTCCGCCCAAAGATGTGGTAAAATTAGTACTTTTAAATATTTTTTTTACTTTTTTGTTTACATAAAGGGCTTGGTAATGATGAGACGAATTGAAATAATTTTTTTTTATTTTGAACGTACACCATCAAACAGTGGAGTAATCGCCAGACTACGTCTGTATGGAACAGTGAGTGGCTAGTGTACCCTTTACTGTCCTACTTAGCTGTGATAGTTTACCTTTTTAAATTAACAAGACATCAAAATATCTCAATTTTATCAAAATCAGTATTCAGCCAGCAGTTTAGTCATGAAAAGCTGGACAGATTTTGGCATTTAGTAAAGCATGGGTTTTCTTTCTGCAATACATTTTGGCAGCTGATTATGTTTTTTCTTATATTTTCTGAAGTAAAATGTTTAGTGATTATATATACATAATTTTCAACCTAATTTTGAATTTTTAAATCGTAAAATTCACAACAATTCGTATATTTGGAGAATACAAAACATTTTTTCATTGCATTTAAATTACAAAGTGAATACTTTAGTATTTATCTTTTAGTAGGAGATTGTACAAAACGAATTGAGGTGCTGTCGACTCTTAAAACATAAATAAATATTATTGAAATATCTCAAAATTAGTGTTACCGGTGGTTACCGGTTACCGATCAATCACTAAACAAGACTACACCACTAGCCGTACATCAACATCACCACACCACACGTATACAGTTTGCTTCAATGCACAGACTAATATGATGCTACGCATCGTAAACGTATTCAAAAACTTTTTATTTACAATAAAAAAATAGTACTTAATGCAATTGTATTTGCAATTAGCTTGCACACTATTTACAAATAAATATGTTTTAAAATTTAAACGATTTCTTTTTTTTTAATGATAATTGTCAACATCGATCAAGTCTGAAATGTGCGAATCCGCTCAGTCTACCAACACAGTTATTCCTTCTGTTTCTTTTCAAAAAGTGACGTTTTGTAAAGATTCGTTGTGAATCTGTTGTTATGGTCTTGGAATAAAGTCTGAAGTAGTATAATTAATGTTTTAGTACCAACAACACTCCTCCTTCATCCCACACCTTTCATTTATGTAAGATTTCCTCAAAGCAACAATTTATTAATTCGGTGAATGCTGTTTTTAACATGTCACACCACGAAATGTACATATTTGAAGATCATTATTTATTGTTTTTAGGGTAGAATATTTATAATAAACCTTGAAATTTTCATTCTTTTATATCAAATTTACCCTAAAATGTAATGAATTACGTTAGAACATTAGAAATACAATTTAATACGTGATAGAGCCATGCTGCAGTTATATTAGTAGTATAGTTGTAGCACGAATGGGTCGGCTCGACCGGGGAAGGACCACGCTCTCACAGAATACCAGCGTGAAATGGTAGCTTAATGCTGCTGTGTGTATGGTGAGTGTAGAGAACCGGAGACCCTTTTTACTGCAAACGAGGCATCCCACCTTAGTCCTCACGGGTGAAAACTCATCTGCATTTTGATTAGTAATCGAGGATAGATGTAGATATCTATGGGCCACAGCAACCACTTACAATCAGGTAGACTATGTGCTCGTTTATTACCCTATCCTATATAAAAAAATTATACATGGTAACAAAATGCACCTTTGTGGAAAATCCTACTGAGTTATGCACTTTTATTCCTATTTTATTGTGAAATTTTGACCAAACAATAGTAATTTTTTAAACTAGCAACATAGCCAAGACGCGAGGTGTCAATCATTTCGAATAAAAAACAAATACGTGTAAAAAAAAACGCTGTCGTAGGAGGACTCGTCAAATGTTGACAACTACAGTTTCTTTTAAGTGAGACACTGCTACCGATTTTCTGTTTTTACCACTCTGTCGCTTCTTTTTTCCCATAGTCATTTCCAGTAAAAAAAGGTCTCCGGTTCTCTAAACTCACCATACGAAACACAAACACAGCAGAACTAAGCTGCTTTTTAACGCTGGTATTCTGTGAGTGAGTGAGTGACCCTTTCCCGGTCGGGTTGACCTGTTCGTGCTACAACTTTAATATAACTACAGTGTCTCCACCACGTATAAGTTAACTTATTTCTACTGTCTGAATGGTTGAATGCTAGAAGCACAAGTTTATGCAACATGCTTAGATATCTCCGAAGCATTTGATATTGTCAATCACAAATAAATCAAAAGACAATCAATTAAAGACTGACTAGAATACTTAATAACATTTTTGTTGACTGACCTATACCTACAAAGTACGTATAAGCTTGTGAGTCTGTTGAAAGTAGTTCCATACCTTTGCAATTTTAATAACCCATCTAGGTTTCCACAAGGCCACCACAATGGACCTGTTATATATTATATGTAACAATATAATAAATAATTACTTTTCAGAAACATTTAAAGAATATTAAACATTATGATATGTATAAATACAGGAAATAAAGAACTCCAAAAACAATGAAATGATTTCAAAAAGTAAATTGTTAACGGTTGCTCGGTTGCCTGTCAAAAATTAAAAAAAAACATATTTAATGAAACTGATTTTTATTTTTGATTTTGAATTTTGAATTATTAGACTTCTAAAGTAGCCAATAATTAATAATTTGTATCAGTCATAAATCGTCATCAGGACTGGACTGATGCCTATTTAAATCTGTCGCCTTCCCACGGAATGATATGTGGTATTGGATTCCACTTACTAAACGGCATTATAATATTAAGTTACAACTTAGAATTAAATTAATTATCTAATAATAATATATCTTTTATGCTCAAAATAAAATAATTTACATGTGTTATAAACACTCATATAATATATTTTAAGAACTTACCTTATCGAACCTTTCCATCATTCTATGCAACTCATTCAGCTGCCTCTCCAGTAGCACGTGATCAATTATGACCGAAGATTTGTTCTCGCATTTCTTACTTCCCCTGCTTGTGTCGCTTAAAGAACTACAAATTGAGCTCGCCTTGCTCAATTTGGGTTTGTCATTTTTATTCCTATCGTTATTGGCCTCGTTGTCTTTGTTTTTCTTTTTATTCTTTTTCTTTGTTTCCACCTTCACCTCTAGATCAAAGATCTCCACTTCAGTGTTATTATTGTTCTCAACACTGGCACCGCCATTAGTGGTTTGGTCATCCTCCGTTTTCCTCTTTTTAGATTTCTTCTTGTCTTCATGCTCGATGTCTCCGTTGACTGCTTTAGGTTTTTTGTTTTTGTGCTTCTTAGGTTTCTCGTCAAAGTCCAGACCGTTGTGGTTGACCTTAGCGTTGGGTTGTTCTTCATTGAGCAACGGTGATAAGATATTGGTGATTTGTTGTACAACTTTGTACATTTTATTGACTAAGGGCAAGGCGAATGGCTCGTATGGGTTGTGATCGTCTAAAATTGGGTTATCGTTGCATCTGAAAAATTTTAAACTATAATTTAAAATTTTCATTTTTTATAGAATAAGGGTGACAAACGAGCACACAGTCCACCTGATGGTAAATAGATGCTGTGGCCCATATACATCTTACATTTGTCCTCAATAATCAAAATGCAGATGCATTGTCGCCCCTGAGGACTGAGGTGGAATGCCTCGTTTCCACTAAAACAGCGTGGGCACGCGACGTATAATATCTACTATACTTGTACAAGGTAGCATAATTAAACAATTAACTGGTAAATAAGAATTAATATAATATATTTGGCGGTTAATACAGTAAAAGACAAACAAGAATAAGTATTTTAACAAATCCTAACAAATAATATGTTCGGCATTGGGGACGTTAAAAAATTATTATCAAAATATACATTTGTAAATATTATAACGAAAAAAACAATTATTATAAATTTTTGTATTGAAACTTACAAAACAACATCTATTGATAATTTTTATAGTCACAGGATATGCGTTTAATAAACTATCTGCATTGATAACAAAATAACACATTTTGAAAAGAATACAGCTGTTACTAGTATTACATTTTTATTAACCACTCCAACTAAGCGTAAAGTTTAACAAGTGATAAAATTAAAACTTTTGTACAACCGACTTCAATATGAAGAAAATGAAAACATCGTCAATGTGGTCCACTGCTGAACATAAGCCTCCCCCAAGTAATGCCAAAAAGCACGGTCCTGAGCCGCCTGCATTTATCGTCTTCCTGCATGTCTTACCAGGTCGTCACTCCATCTAGTGGGGGGGTCACCCTACACTACGCCTACCGGTACGAGGCTGCCACTCGAGAACCTTTCTTCCCTATCGGTTGTCGGTTATGCGAGCTATATGGCCGGCCCATTGCCACTTCAGCTTACTAATCCGTTGGGCTATGTCGGTCACTCTGGTTTTACTGCGGATATCCTCATTTCTAAGTTTATCACGCAGAGAAACTCCGAGCATAGCCCTCTCCATAGCTCGCTGAGCGACAGGACCTTGAGCGTCCTCATACGGCCAGCAGTGAAGGACCACGTAATCAGATCCGTATGTCATCACTGGCAACACGCACTGGTTGTACAAAAGTCAATTAAATACGCATTATTAAAGATAACTTAAACTACTGATCAGATCCTGATCAAATTCATATGGAACCACATTAGAAGTATCAGCTTCCAAATAAAAATAGTAATAATCAAAATCGGTATACCTAGAAGAAAGTTCAGAGGTAACACACATTAATAAAATACAGACGAATTGTGAATCTACTCCTTTTTACGAAGTTGGTTGAAAATAAAGTAAAATTTTGTTTTAGCTTTGTGATATAAGCAACGGTGATACATATATGTTCCTATTTGTAAACACTTTGATATTGATTATTATTAATAAACAAAACTAAACATCCCTGTATGTCTGTTTATATTATTAATCTTGCATCACAAGCTTTAAAATACTATATGGAACACTCACGTGGCCAGCAACTTCTGTCGCAGTTTGCGCGCCTTCTTCTTAATATTTTTTTGCTTCTCTCTGTCGCGTCTTTCTTGCTCCAGTCTCTCCGCTTCCTCTTCATCATTCGTGGCCTGGTCGTGGCTCTCGGAAACAGTCTGAAAAATGGATATCAGGTCTTTTCATAATAACAATGGTGTGATGACGGTAGACAAGAAACCAGACACGTAACAATACACTACAATGGTATTTATTAAACACCTAAAAAAAAACAAAAATCACATCAAAATAAACAAAGATATTATTGCTACAAAAGCAATTTCCTCCAAACAATAGTTACAAATTAGAAATAGCTTGGTCATCGCTAATAAGTTATTTCTAATTTGTTTGGTGTTGTTAATTTTACATGATTGTAAGCAGTGGCGAAGCCTCCATAGAAGCCGAAAAGCCGGGCTTGCCTTATCAATAACATCAATCAATAATATCAACTAATAAAATAACTCGTAAACTGTTTCAAACTATTTAAAATTTCCCGCGCACTTCACTGCTCGACACATGTCGACCGATGACCTCGTATTGCCTTAGCGATACTGCTGCTGACATAAAAAATGAGTTTTAATAGAGCGATTAGTTGTCTCCCTCGCTCGCGTGGGCTTTTTACGGCGCTTTCGAGAAGACGATCGCTCTCTTTCTAACCTATGGCAAAATATTCTATAATGAAATATAACTACGATTGTATATATAGCAATTAGTATAAAGATTTAAAGCCAGGCTTTAAAAATGTTTTTTTGAAGCCTGGCTTTTTTTCACATTTCAATGTTTATTTACTCTGTGTGTTTAGCTTAATCGATTTAATATTGCGAGTTCAAAATTTATGCTTTTTTAAAGATTTTTAGTGAAAATGGAAGATAATAGTGTTCCTTGTGATGAATTGAAGTGTGTTAAAGTGCTAATCGGAGAGAAAAAGGTAAAATCTATAAACTTTGTTGATATAATACACAAGGTCAAGAGTGTATTTTAGACTTATCAATTATGCGATAATTGATAAGTCTAAAATACACTCTTAACTTAATTAAAAAAACAGTTATTGGTTTTTTTTTATAGAAGAGGGGGCAAACGAGCATGTGGCTCACCTGATGTTAAGTGACTACCGCCGCCCATGATCAACCGCAACACCAGGGGGAATTGCAGGTGCGTTGCCGGCCCTTTAGAAAGGAGTAAGCTCTTTTCTTGAAGGTCTCCAGGTCGTATCGGTCCGGAAAAATCACCGGTGGTAAATTATTCCACACAGAGGTTGTACGCGGAAGAAAACTCCTTTTGAAACGTACAGTGGTGGACCGCCAAGCATCCAGATGGTGTGGATGGTATCGGGACGTTTGCCGTGCAGTGCGTTCACGAAATTTGGCGGCTGGGATTAATCCGAACAATTCCTCAGAGCACTCCCCGTGATAGATGCGATAAAATACGCAAAGAGATGCAACATCTCTTCGCAGCGCCAGTGAATCGAGCCGATCGGAAAGCACTCGGTCGTCGACGATTCGAGCCGCTCTGCGCTGGATGCGGTCAAGTGGAAGGAGCTGGTACTGGGGAGCCCCAGCCCAGAGATGAGAACAGTATTCCATGAGCGGCCGAACCTGCGCCTTGTAAAGTTGCAGGCGGTTTGCCGGCATGAAATACTGTCCCGCTCTGCTGAGCACGCCAAGCTTTTTAGAGGCCAATTTGGCCTTCCCTTCCAAGTGACCACGAAACTGCACGTCACTCGATATGTCGACGCCGAGGATTCCGATACTGGCTGAGGCAACAAGGGGAGTGCCTTGAAACTGAGGGGATACGACAAAGGGGTTCTTTTTAGCGGTTAACGCGCAAACTTGTGTCTTCTGGGGGTTAAACTGGACTAGATTTAGTCGCCCCCAATCCGAGACTCTGTCCAGCAGAGACTCGACTTCAGACACAAGTTTGTCCCGGCACTCAGAGACGTTTTCCCGAGAAATATTGGCTCGGCCGGTGTAAAGAGCATCACCAGTGCTGTCATCTGCATAGCAATGAATGCTACGGGTTTGCAACATATCATTGATATGCAGAAGAAACAGCGTTGGCGATAGCACGCAGCCCTGTGGAACACCAGCATTAATAAGCTTGCAATCGGAGCTTGCACCGTCTACAACGACCTTGATGCTCCGATCCGCAAGAAAACTGGTGATCCAATCGCACAATTTCTCGGGAAGCCCATAGGAAGGGAGCTTCGAAAGAAGCGCTTTATGCCAAACCCGATCGAAGGCCTTCGCAATGTCCAAACTAACGGCCAATGCCTCCCCCCTTGGACTCTACTGCCTCCGCCCATCTGTGAGTTAGGTAGACCAGAAGATCACCAGCTGACCTACCACGGCGACAACCGTATTGGCGGTCACTAATCAGCTGGTGATCCTCAAGGTACCTCATGAGCTGGCAGTTTACAATGGACTCCATTGTTTTGGAGAACAAGGAGGTGATGGCGTTAGGCCGGTAGTTGGACGGGTCTGAGCGGTCGCCTTTTTTAGGGATCGGGTGGACGAAAGCCGTCTTCCATGATTTTGGGACTACGCCTAGGGAGTAGGAGTACCGGAAAAGACGCGTTAAAACCGGTGCCAACTCTGGAGCACACGTCCTCAGCACAATTGGGGGGATTCCATCAGGCCCACTCGACTTATGGATGTCCAGGGAGAGGAGTGCTTTGCGAACCGAGCGCTGAGTGAACTGCACTTCCGGCATGGAGCACTCACACCGCGGGATGGTTGGCGGCGTACTCCCCCGTCATCGAGAGTCGAGTTAGACGCAAAGAAAGAGCCTAGAAGATCGGCTTTCTCCTTTGCGGTGTGGGCCAGTGAGTCGTCCTCCCTGTGCAGAGATGGAAGAGATGGCTGACAGAAATTCCCCTGGACAGCCTTGGCGAGAGACCAGAATGCACGGGTTCCAGAAGGAAGACGAACTAGTCTCTCGCCAATTAAAACGTTCACCAACATTTTACGTGGACGTAATTGAATCTTTCCTGAAGAAAGCAAGACGATTCCACTTATTTTATCTTATCTCCTAGCCATTAGAATGTAAATAGTTTTTTTGTACTTTGTTCATGTTTTACTTTTGTTCATGTATTGTATTGGATGTAAATATTTTTTCTTTAGCTTAAACAAACCCAAACGGCTTTCTTCAAAGCCACCAAAGCTATGCAATTGCTGATATGTCATACAATCTATCTAGCAGTAGTATGCCTTCTGTGTGCTTTGTTAAACACGTCCTTGCCAGCACTGAATATGAAACTGAAGCGTGGAGACAGATCAAGATTGGTGTATTTTTATAAAACTGCTAAAAACAACAATCTATATTTTTATCAATTTATATCTTGGGCTTGCCCTAAGTGTGGAGCTCTAGCTTCGCCACTGATTGTAAGCTGTTATTTAAAAAAAATAGTCCCGCTGGGTTTCTTGCTGGTTCTTCCCAGGACAGAGTATTTTTTGCGAACCAGTGGTAAATGAAAAAAGTGACGTTCAATAAGTATTATTTATAATTCAAATTGAATAAAAAAGTTTCTGTTTCTGTTTTACCTCAGTCCCTACTAGCGACATCTAGTGACGGAAATATTAGCCCTCATTCTAGTCATTGATGACTTTATTTTATTTGTATTTTTAGATATGAACTTTATTTATTAACACAATATAGTACATGATAGAATTCGCCAATTTTCTTGCTGTTGTTTACTCAAAATTAAACTGTATGCAATTGGAATAAAGTTCAAATTTATCCTTACTGCCTGTCGCGGTCCAGTCGCCTTTTCTCTTACGGCCTGTAAGTGTAGTTCCAATCTCTGCTGGCTCGCGTCTTGTTTGTCTCTTATACGGGATCTCAGAGCGTCAACTTCTAGTTCAGCGGCCGCTGCGAGGGCTGACAGACGGGACTTCACACCTTCCGCCTGAAATTATAACAATGTCTTTCCAGAACTTATTTCTTTCTCTTTATTCTTTTATCTGATTTTAATGTAGGTTATTTTTTAAAGGATAGGGTGACGAACGAGCATACAGTCCACCAATGATGGTAAGTGGTTGCTGCGGCCCATAGACATCTACATCTATCTTCGATTAGGAATGAAAATGCAGATGCATTGTCACCCGTGAGTACTAAGATGGAATGCCTCGGTTCCCGTAAAAAGAGTTTCCGGTTCTCTTCATTCACTATATGAAACACAAGTTAAGCTACTGTTTGTAGATGCTATGTTGTAAAATTCTTTTTGTTGTTGAATAAAACTCTTTATACGGATTTTATCGCGTCTAATTAACTTAACTTTAATTCCCTACGTTTTTTTAATAGAATTGGGTGACAAACTAACACACAGTCCCCCTGATAGTAAGTGGTTGCTGCGGCCCATAGACATCTATCCTCGATTACAAATCAAAATGCAGATGCGTTTTCATCCGTGAGGACTAATATGGAATGCCTCGTTTCCAGTAAAAAGGGTATCCGGTTCTCTACACTCACCATACGAAACACAACAGTCTTAAGCTACTATTTTACGCTGGTATTCTGTGAGAGCGTGGTCCTTCTCCAGTCGAACCGGCCCATTCGTGCTACAACTATACAACTGTTGCGCGCCTAAGTTGACGTCTGGCACTAGCGCCATCTAGTGTCGGGTAACAGAGTGAGGGAGCTTTCCAGAAAATGACATGACTAGTCTTTCAACCAACAGCGGCATCTAGTATCGAATTAAAGAACTAAGCTTTCTAGAAGCCCTACACTCGAACTTTCGGCGCCTGGTCGGTTGGCGCGCGTATTTACTTGAATATTTTGGTGAAAAAGGTGTATTTATATGCGCTGCAATACGTGATCTGTGGGAGAGAAGCTTCTGAGCGAAATAAAGTGAATCAGTGTGATTAATTATTAGTATCTTTTAAGTTTTAATTGGTGTTCGGTAATAAAAGTGTAAATTTTGGTAATTCAATCGGCATTTTTTACTGTCACGATCCTCAAGCTCGTAACACTACTAATATAACTGCAGCATGGCTCTACCGTGAGGGAGGGGGGTGCTGTAAAGCACCTGAATGTGTAGTATTCGCGTAAATTGCCGTAATTTATTATTAGTAACTAGTGATGCGCCCGGCTACGCACGGGTGATTTCTGGAATCCGGGAACAACGCCACTAATCGAGTTCAATTGTCAATCTAAACCATTCGGAAACCCCCTCACACACTCATAAAAAATTTCATCAAAATCGATCGAGCCGCGTCTTAGTGGAGTTTTAGCGGGAATAACGGATAGCAATTGATTTTTATATATAAAAGATATATTATATATTTCTTCTGCACATGTGTTTGTCACTGAATCCTTTCTAAAAGTCTAAGCTGAATTTGATGAAATTTTAGTGCTTATGTTCACCAGTTCCGATTCACAATTGGACTTAGTTGGTGGTGGTCTTGTCAAGATCAAGAAATCATACGTGCGAAGTCGGGGCGGATACAATAATCTTGTATACCAGAAATAGTGATAAAAATAGTGATATGTGAGCAAGTGAGGATAAATGTAGATGTCCATGGGCTTCAGCATTAGAATCCGGTGGTCCTATGTGCTGGTTTGTCACCCTTATTCAATAAAAATCTATAAAACAAACACATTATGCAAATAATAAGTAACCATCGATGTTCACACCGGCAACTCAGTGTTACAGTCGAGCGTGTGGGTGACATCATCTCACCTTCTCCCTGGCAGCGTCGCCCCGCTCCTGCCGCCGCAGCTCCCGCATGTCCTGCACGCGCCCGTCACGCAGCCGCACTCAGTGCTGCAGTACAGTCGAGCGTGTGGGTGACATCGTCTCACCTTTTCCCTGGCAGCGTCATCCCGCTCCTGCCGCCGCACCTCCCGCATGCCCTGCACGCGCGCCGGCACGCAGCGCACTCAGTGCTACAGTACAGTCGAGCGTATGGGTGACATCATCTTACCTTCTCCCTGGCAGCGTCGTCCCGCTCCTGCCGCCGCAGCTCCCGCATGCCCTGCACGCGCCCGGCACGCAGCAGCACTCAGTGCTACAGTACAGTCGAGCGTATGGGTGACATCATCTTACCTTCTCCCTGGCAGCGTCGTCCCGCTCCTGCAGCCGCAGCTCCCGCATGCCCTGCACGCGCCCGGCACGCAGCAAAACTCAGTGCTACAGTACAGTCGAGCGTATGGATGACATCATCTCACCTTCTCCCTGGCAGCGTCGTCCGCTCCTGCCGCCGCAGCTCCCGCATGCCCTGCACGAGCTCGTCCCGCAGCCGCACTCAGTGCTACAGTACAGTCGAGCGTGTGGGTGACATCGTCTCACCTTCTCCCTGGCAGCGTCGTCCCGCTCCTGCCGCCGCAGCTCCCGCATGCCCTGCACGCGCTCGTCCCGCAGCCGACGTCTCTGCAGCAGCGACTCCACGCGGCTCCGGCGAGCTTCCTCCAGAGCTTGGCGACGGGCCCCCACGGCTGCCTCCCTTGCAGCCTTTTCTTCCTATCCCCACCACGGAACAGTTCTATATGTTAATACGTGAACACTTTGTAACCCTTTATAAAGGTTTAAGCGTGAAGTTACAAATACAATTTAAATTAAATAAAACATTCATCGTTTACGTTCATTGCCCATGTCAATAGTCAAGCATATAATAGTCTATGGTCAAACACTCGCACAGAGCAAAGATTGTCGCAAAAAAAATAATTAAAATATTGCCAAGAAATAAGTGAAAGGCTAAGGGCCCCCACAGCTGCCTCCCGTGCGGCTTTTTCCGCCTATCCCCACCACGGAACAGTTTATGTTAATACGTAAAAGGAAAAATTTCTATCCCTTTTTAAGAGTATTGCCCAAGGGTATAGGGAGGAGTGCAGAAAGCTAAAATTTATATAAATTATGTGTTACAGTAGATTAAATTAAATAAAACAATCACTGTTTACGTTCGTACCGCCAATGTCAAACACATAATAAACTGTGGTCAAACGTAAGCACAGCGTAAAGATTATCGCCAAAAAATGTTAAAGTAATACCATCAAATAATTAATAACTGAATGACTTGTGAATTTTGTGTGACTTTAAATGTTCCATTTTTGTGTGTGGAATCAAAAAACGATGTTAAGATAAAAATATATACACATGGGTAAGATCTATTAATATGGCGTACGGGCGCGCCAGTAACATGAGTTTCTTCGATAAAGATTTCGTAGACTATATCGGTACATACAACAAGCAGAGCGAGGAAAATGGACGAGTGGATTGCACGCCTTCTGACGGACTGCCTCGCCTTCCCACCGGAGTATAAGCTTTGTTAAAGCAGGTTCACCACGTGGATCGGCGCACGCACGCTTAAATCAGTTTTAGGAAGTCACACACTCCTTAACTCTTCGCTGATTGTAATCGGCGAGTCACGTTCGCGAAATTATTAGGACTCAATGTGCGGTGATGAATAATGGTACGAACTTGGGGTTCGTGAGAATAAAAACTGCGGATTGAATTACCAGAATTGACACTTTAATTACCGAACACCGATTACAACTCAGAACACACAAATAAAACACAATTCGCAGTTAATTGCTTCGAAGTATTCGCTTGAATCGCCAATTCAATACTCACTCGGTCTCGTTTCTAACTGGCCTTATATAGGCATTTTCCAGTAAAACATCTAGAATGTTTATTTATTTATTTATTTATTTATTTATTCTCTCTCTTACATCTATCTTTACAGTTTCCTAATGCGATAGAGTAACTTATCCTAAGATTTAACAAAAATTATTACCTAAAATCAACAATAAGAATATAATAGAAGTAAATATATAATAAAAGTAAAAGCATTTCCTACCTAAATAAAATACTAACAAAAATTATTACCTACTAACAACAGATTATAAAAATAAAAAATAAACAAAAAATTACATAAAAAACCTAGATTTAACTATAACTTATTACATATAATGTGACCTTCGTGAATTCACTCAGAGTACAACAAAATATGTCAATTTTATCTTGGACTCTGTTTAGTGTTCTGAGTGCGCGCGTGAGCGGCGCGTGCTGCAGCAAGTTAGTCCTCGCGCGCGGTACCGCCAGCAGCTGCGGCCGGCGTCTGCGATATACGTACCGGTCTGGGACTCGGAGTGCCAACTGATCCAGCACGTCTGTGTTATGTACTCTGCCTATCAGAACTGTGTACAAATAGCGTGCAAGAGTAAATTCCCTTCTAACCCTGATTTCATTGTAACCTACCATACCTAATATGAACAATGTTGGATACATTAATGGATAGAGTGGATACACTCCATACAGTCGCATGTACAGGTATCTTAAAAATTTATTTTGTACTCGCTCCAGCATAAGAGTGTACTTGTTTTCGTGCGGCGACCAAATCATCGCATTGTATTCCAGTTGGCTCCTAACCAGTGTATTATATAATGCAGTAATAGCGTAAATATTTGTGAAATTATTAACTGTGCGTAGTATGAAACCCAAACTTTTGTAAGCTTTTTTTACAACATTTAATGATGTGTTCACGAAAAGTTAATCCTGTATTCATACCCACTCCTAAATCACGAACTTCCTTGACGCTAGTCATGGGTACACAGTCTTCTATCATATAATTATGTACAATAGGGTTGTGGCTACGAGAGAATGTAATTGTGACACATTTTGAGGTGTTAAGCTGCAAGTTGTTTTCCTTGCTCCACCTAGTCACCCTATCTATATCACTTTGTAGCCTCGTGCAATCCTCCTTACATACTATAGGTAGGTATAATTTAAAATCATCTGCAAATAATAGGCATTTTGCTTCTTGGACCATTTTGGGGAGATCATTAATCATTATTATGAACTCCAAAGGACCTAAATTACTACCCTGGCTTACTCCAGACCTCGTGAAATATGTGTCTGATCGGTATCCTGCATATTCTACATATTGCTGTCTGTCTGTCATGTAGCTAGCAAAGAAGTTGAGTAAGTGTGGTGTAAAACCAATGCCTGCTAGCTTTCTGAGTAGGATATCATTATCTACAAGGTCAAACGCTTTTTTGAAGTCGAAATAGACTGCGTCGACCTGCCCGCCCGCGTCCACCGTCGGTAACACGTCCGCCATATACGCAAGAAGATTACTGTTTGTACTTCTATTCGGCCGAAACCCGTGTTGTGAATCCGATAATTGTATACCCATTTGATGATATACGCTCTTCTGTATAGCTGACTCAAATATTTTTGCTGGAGTCGACAGGACTGCGATAGGTCTATTACCATCCAGGTTTCCTTTGGCACCAGCTTTCGGTACTGGTACTACCCTAGTCGTCTTCCATCTTTCCGGAAATACTGCTGCTCTCAGGGATTGGTTATATATATGAAGCAAAGGCTTAGCTAGAACAGATCGGCAGTCTCTAAATATATACGGTGGTATACCATCTGGTCCTGTCGATTTCTTTGGCTTAAGTTGTTTAAGGGCGTGCTGTACCTCACTGAGCTGTAACGCGCTAAGGTGTACGCGTGCTGCCGCGTTCTCACTGCCAGCCACCTGTATCGCTGAATTTACATCTAATTTAGCCTTACACGGACTGTACACCGAATAGAAGTAATTGGCTAACTCATGTACTGACTGTTCATTCGTCAGAAGTTCACCGTTTTTATACATTTTCCGAGGACTTCTGTTGCTTTTTTTGGAGTTTATATACCTCCAGAAAGATATAGGGTTTTCCTGTAAATTACTTTGAACGATATGCTGATGGTGTGTATACGCTTCTCTTATGCTTTGTTTGACCTTAGCCCTAAATTGTGAAAAAACCTCGTAATCTAAACCTGATCTACTTTTCTTGTATACTTTATGAAGAGTAGCTTTTTGTTGTATTAATCGGATAACATCGGCGGTATACCACTCAGGATACACGTATTTAGACCTGCTATAACATTGAATTTTTTTTGGAACACATTGTTCTAATATTTTATTAATAGACTCGTAGAAGTAATCTAAACTCATTTCTAAATTTAATTCATATATGGAAGACCAGTCTGTGGTCGCAATTAAATGATACAACAAAGGAAAGTTAGCTTTTTTAAAATGCCATTGCGGAGGTATTTTGGTGATGTTTGAAAATGTGTTTGACCTTGAATGCGCGATAGTGTCAGTGTGAGTAAGCGATCGCAAGCAAACAGTTACATCGAGCGGTGGATGTTGTACGTCGACCGGCACCAACGGCTGGGTCGCCCCGCTCACGCGCACACCATCTCCCCGCTCCTCAACCGTGCTCAATACTAGATCTAGACATCTATCATTGCAATTGTAAATATTGTTACTCTGAATGAACCCACAATAAGTTATAAAATATTCAAAATATTGATTTACACTAAGTGGACAAGAGTACATATTGAAATCTCCTAACACTAAAACCTTGTCGTAACTGTTACATAGCTGCTCAATTATTCTAAACATTACCATATATTCACATTCACTACTATTAGGCGGTATATAAACAGCGCACAACAAAAACAAAAACCGGTTTCGAAGGTAGACAGTAGCGCAAACTATTTCGAATATATGATTGTCAATGTTTACATTGTCAGGTATCGTAATTCGTCTCAGTTCGAAACGCGGTGTGGCCACTAAAAACGCGCCGCCTTGTTTGCGTCCATCTGTTCGGTCACACCGAATAATACTATGACCTGGTGGGACCAGCTCACCGTCGTAAATCGACTCATTACAACCTGTTTCCGTAATGATGAATAAATCAGAATCAGATGAAGCAATAGCCAAATAGAAATCGCTTGTCTTCGTTCTAAGTCCTCTCACGTTCTGATAGTAAATTTGTATATTCTTACTATTTTTTGTCACTTTGTTGCTCACGGGTGTTTCGACGAAACCACACCCACTCGCTAAATTCAATATTTATAGGCCAGTGTTCTGGTTGGCATAATACGTTATATTTACTTTCAGGGAGTGCTATAATAAATGAAGAATAGTCTCTTTGAGTCTTATGTTTTATTTGGTCAATCTTTATGGGCACTTCATTTCCACAAATATTTTTAACATACTTTTGTAGGCTTTCAATTGTGGTTTCTGTGTCTAACCGCCAAACATGCAGGTACCTTTTTTCTCTCTGATCCCTTAATTTCAGTTGAATTCGTACTTTCTCCTTTTTTTACTTCATCGTTGGGATATCTCTTTTTCTTGTTTACCACCGTCCAATTACTAGTTTCCATTTTATTTTCTTTTTGAATAGTAATATCCGTTAGATCATTTTGTGAATCTATCACAATACATTGTTTGTGCACAATCGGCTCCGTGGGTTTCATGGCCACACTTTTATTATCCGCTGCCTTCTTTTGAGTTTGTTTCTTTGCAACATTTGCAAACGTTAAAACTGACTTTTCCGGCTGCTGGACTGCTGACTGCTGACTTTTCTCCATATTACAAATTGATTCTAGTTCTTCCTTTTTCTTTTCTAATATTTTAATATTAGCCTCTAAAAGATCTATTTTATTTACTTTTTCTTGAACTACCTCCAAAATCTTTTGTACTTTTTGTAATTCGTTTTCCGTAACAACAAATCTCTTTTGAAGTAGGTCGTACTCCTTTGCTTGTTTATCTAGTCGACAATTAAAATCATATCTCAACGCTCTTAACTCTTTCAGTATCTCATTTTCTACTACTATAGAATCAACGGTAGTCGGACCGCCGCCACCACCTCGCTTGATATTGACGTAGCTAGGTGTAACTGCTTCCTTATTCACTTGCTTGGGTCCTCGTACTGGCGTGTTCAAATTACCACCTTTAGGGATAATGCTCGTGCACTCTGGGCATAACCATTTACTTCCACTTTCCCCTGTGGTAGCCTCCAGCTTTTCCTTCCCCAATCCAAGACACGCAAGATGGTAAGATTTACCACAATTTTTCTCCGAACACTGCATCCTGAGATCATCACATATTACGGCATGGCAGCCGTCACATTTAGTGCCCATTTTTGGGCTCAAAACACTCAGAGTCACACACTTATTATTTATTTTTAATTCGATTGACTTGCAACACGTCCGTTCCGTACCGCGTGCACGACGGTTTGAAATTGTGGAAAAACAAGTCTTCCGAACGGTTCCTGGTAAGCGGAGCGAGTAGTCGGTCGGGACCGGTATGTTCGAGCACATACCGGTCCCGACCGACTACTCCGGTACTTTAGATTCAGGGACTATCATTTGCAAATGACAGCTGTCTCCCCGACCATTTTCCCATTTACGGCACAGAACTCCACCCTGAATCAGCAACCTGTCCCATTGGGTCCAATAGCTTTTTGTGGTCGAACTCATCGCTGAAACGTCGCTCCACGTCTGCTTGGGAGCACGGGCCTTCATCCATTCCAGAATCGGCTTGATGTCTGAATCTTCCTGCTGTGCATGTTGTAAACTGTCCTTCCACTCGTTGCTGAGGTGGTCTGTCCTGAGCATCCTCACGGATACCACTTCCTTACTCTCTTGCCTAGTACAATGTTTGCAATCTTCAGGACAAGGATGTCTTGACAATGCATCTGCGTTGCCATGAGATTTCCCGCTGCGATGTTCGATCACAAAATCATATTCTTTCTGCTGCTGGGCGGTGCTGTTACCATACAACCCTCTCGAGATCGATCAACTTCCTTTTTTACAGTTCGCTTAGGGTAGCTGCATCGAAAATGGTCCCTTTCCCCACAGCCATGGCACCTAGGGCTGTAGTATCTCTTGTTGCAGTCGCAACCTGTAGCTGCTGCAACCTCCCTGACGCGATGGGAACGATGATCCTGCCGCACGGCTTCCACCTCCAGTGCATGTGCCAAGGCGTCCTTAAGTGTTTCATGGTGCCCGAGCCTCACAACAGCTCTGACTTCAAGGCCGCGGATGCCGTCGATGAATGTCTGCACCAGGTTCCCCTCAATGAGCACAGGTACAGACCGGTATGCTTTTCGAACCAGCTTCTCCTGGCCTCCGGGCCCGTGTTCCTCCTGTCGGCGAGTCTGCTCCAGCAGCATCATCATCAGAGCACCTAAGTCAAGTACTGCAGGTGTAGGAGCTGCTGACGGGCCGGCCTCCGTGGCCGGCAGCTGACCCTCCGACGTCTGCGGCGTTGCACCACCAAATCATCTTTGGTCCGTCTTGTGCTGGCGTTGACTTCGGGTACGGACACCCTCCGTGTCTTCTTTAGGTAAAATCGGCACGATTTTATCCCACTTCTGACACCAATTGTTACGAGCTTAGGGTTCGTGACCATTAAAATTTGACTGAATTACTAAAATTGACACTTTAATTACCGAACACCAATTAAAGCTTAAAACACACTAAAAATTAATCACACTTAACACTTTAGATTACTTTATTTCGCTCCATAGTCTTCGCTTAAATTGTCATTATATACTGCCCCGGTTGCGGTCCATAGCGCCTTTATATAGGGGCCTCTTTCACTGAAACATCTAGATGATGAGATGTTCGAGTAAATGTCGAAAGTTCTAGCAAAGAATCTGCCACTCGATACTAGATGGCGCTAGTAGGAAAGTTTTAGCGTGGAATTTCTAGAAAGCTCTCCTAGTTCTGCTACTCGATACTAGATGGCGCTAGTGGCATTAATTATGCACTACGTGCAACAATATTATGAGACTTAGCTAATAACAGACTTTCACAACATGCTGAATATAAAATTGTCACAATATAATTTAAATAATACCCGTACATTACATTTGATAGCAGTATGGGTTTGGCTAGTTTATTATCTGTACTTGCATAAAAAAGGATCAAGGATCAATGACCAAAAAGGGATCTTTCCACTGACCAGCTTCTGGAGCCGGTCTCGCCGCATTTGCCTCAGCCTAGTGGTATGGTATCGGCACTGTGCCAAGAAGTCGTGCCTCCTGTTCTGCGCCTGCAGCTGCTTGATGAACGCAATCTCCCTCAGCTTCTCGTCTTCATCATGGGCTTTCTTCACGATATCCTGTAAGATAGAAGGTTACCGTGTAGTGGCGCCGTAAGAGAATTTACTACCCTAAATAACACCGCGGGTGTCGTCAGAGACGAGAGTGATATTATGGTTGTATCACGAATGGGTTGGCTCGACCGGGGAAGGACCACGCTCTCACAAAATACCAGCGTAAAACTCCAGCTTAATACTGTTTAGTATCGTATGGTGAGCGTAGAGATCCGGAGACCCCTTTTTACTGGAAACGATGCATTCCATCGTAGTCCTCAGGGTATTGCATCAGCATTTTGATTCTTAATCGAGGATAAATGTAGATGTCTATGTACCACAGCATCCACTTACCATCAGGTGGACTGTGTGCTCGGTTGTCACCATTATTCCATAAATAAAGAAGTATGTTCTTGATAACTTTTGCCGTTACAGCCTATCAAGATCCACTGCTGAACATAGGCCTCCTCCCGTAGATTGCCTCAGGATGGATGTTTGCCATCGTTGTCAGACTTGGACAGGCGGGTCGGCAACTGCAGTTTTATTTTCAGTTATAATAGGAAGACGCTGCTGCCCATCTCCTGATTTGTTTCCCTCTGTCTCCTCTTAAGACACCCACGGGATATGATGTAGTGGATATTCTTACACCGCCACTACACGGCCAAAATTACTTACTTTCAAATGCTGATCTCGGTTTTCAGCCGCTTTCTGGAGACGTCTCTCCATTCTTAGTCTCTTCTCTTCTATCAGTTGATTTTTGGCCACCTGTAATATGAAATTATAAGGTCTTCTAAACAGATCATTATTAGCCTGCCGCAGTGTGTAGCAGAGTGCAGCGAGCTGCCAACGTAATAGAATGAAGTTTTTAATAGAATCAGGCGTTATTTTACAGAAATCCATTGTATTAAAGATGTTACAAATTAATTATCTAAGATACGCGTTATAAAATATATTCTTTTTATAGAATAAGAGTGACAAACGAGCACACAGTCCATCTGATGGTATCCTCAATTAAGAATCAAAATTCAGATGCGTTATCACCAATGACGACTAAGATAAAATGCATCGTTTCCAATAAAAATAGTCGCCTATGTACCTAGGTGGATTGAAAAGTACTCGGCCTAACACAGATCCATTCAATTCTAAAAATCAAATCTACCCACATTATTTAGTTCAGTTCAAACTAGTTCATTGTGTGAAGTTCGAAACGTGTACGATAATTAGTTGTGATTTTATAAATTTATTAACAAAGTAATCGGACATAATTTCCGCGAATGGAGCAAATCGAGCAGCGTGCCGTCATTAAGTACCTCCATAAGAAGGGGCTATCATCAAAAGCCATCCATGATGACATGGTCAGTACATTAGGCGATTGTGCTCTGTCATATTCATCCGTCAAAAAATGGATAGCAGAATTTAAGCGTGGTAGAGAGAGTGTGAAAGATGAACCCCGCTCTGGAAGGCCTTCGACGTCAACTACTGACGAAAATATTAAAAAAGTACTTGATTTAATAATGGGAGACCGCAGATTAAAAATTAGAGAGATAGCCGAGATTATAGGCATCTCTTATGAACGAACTCAAAACATCATTGTCAACGAGTTGGGTTTCCACAAGGTGTCTGCGAGGTGGGTTCCGCGACTGCTTTCAGTTGAACAAAAAAGGACGCGATTGACTATTTCACGCGACTGTTTGGAGTTATTTGAAGCCGATGCAGATGATTTTTTGAATCGTTTTGTTACTATGGACAAAACATGGGTTCATTACTGTACACCGGAAACAAAACAACAATCAAAACAGTGGACAAGACCTGGTTCACCACCCCCTAAAAAGGCTAAGTCGATTTTGTCGGCAAATAAGGTGATGGCTTCAGTATTCTGGGACTCGAAAGGTGTGATTATGATTGATTATCTTGAAAGGGGTCAGACTGTAAACTCTGATTACTACTGCACCTTACTACGACGTTTACGAGAGGAAATAAAAGAAAAACGTCGAGGAATGCTCAGAAGAAAAGTCCTGTTTCATCAAGATAACGCCCGTGTTCACACGTCAGTACAGTCAATGGCTGAAATTCACAACTGTGGCTTTGAACTGTTACCGCATCCGCCGTATTCACCTGATCTGGCACCATCAGACTTCTTTCTGTTCCCTAACCTAAAAAAGCACTTGGGAGGTCAAAGATTTTCGACAAACGACGAGGTCAAAGCAGCTGTTATCGCATATTTTGACTCTAAGGAAGAATCATTTTTTTTCAACGGTCTAAATACTTGGAAGGAGAGGTGGCAAAAGTGTATTGAACTTGATGGTGATTATGTAGAAAAATAAAAATATAACTGATTTAGTATGTGTTTATTTTCTTGGTTAGGCCGAGTACTTTTCAATCCACCCTCGTACTATGTAGTGTACACATAGATGGACTAAGGCCCTTAGTACGGACTTCGCAATTTTTTAGCTATTTGAAGTCAGCTTTTACATTTTATTAAAGTTAAATTAATTTAAAGATTTTTTTTTGTAAAAATAATAATTTTTTGAGCAAAAACTGAAGTTCTCTTTGAAATATTATGTATTATCTATATTGTGTATTATATTATCTATACAGTCGTATTTACCACGTACTTAGTGAAGGAAAATACATGGAACATAATCACTCACGCCTGTGGCAGGCAGAGACTACGGATTTCTATTAGGCATGATCCTAACCATAGAATACTATAATACATACATAATAGAACGGGGGAGTGGGCTGTATAGCCACTAACATGTCACTAAAATATCAGTTCACACCTATAAGTGTCAACACAATTTTTTGTATTATTTTAAAATATGACAGCCATTCTATTGTGTATTATAGTATTCTATGATCCTGACGCTCCTCTCTCGCCATCTTCACACTCATACATCTACGCATACATGCTCGTCGGTTAAGGGTATTCTATATTTGGTCCATTTTTAATATATCGCCAATTTGGTCGATAAACTTTTGTCTAGGAGGTCCCTTCCCGACTCTGCCGTTCACTTCTGCAACAAAATTAGCTTTGTCATTCTCTTCTTATTCATTACTATTACATGACCAAACCACCGAAGTATTCTTTTCTTAATCCTGGTCACAAGTCACAACATCATGTTGCAAGTCACACTCTTCTCTTATCACACAATTTCTCACCCTGTAGAGCCACGCTGCAGCAATATGAAGGTTGTAGCACAAATGAGTCGGCTCGACCGATGAGCTACTAGCATCTTAATGCTGTTGGGTTTTGTATGATGAATATAGAGTACCGGAGACCGTTTTTACTGGTAACGAGGCATTCCATCTTAGTTCTCAGGATAACAAAGCATTAACATTTGATTCTTAATCGAGGATAGATGTAGATGTCTATGGGCCACAGCAACCACTTACAATCAGGTAAACTGCGTGCTTGTTTCTCATACACAATCAATAAAAAATATATATATTGACCTTGACTTCCTCAACTCTCGCCAGCAGCTGATGTATCTTTTTTGCTCTCTCCGTCTGATACTCCATTCTCTGTCGTTCTGCACGAGCTTGCTTAGCTTGGAGCCTGGAATGAAAGGAATATTACCATCGATTCTGTAATAAGGGTATCCACAGAAGAACAAAGGTTTACATAGCCCAGGGGGATATGTAGGCTGTAGGGACAATAAACTTACTTTATAGCAAGAATATAGTTTCAGCGGTACTCTCGTACCGGTTTAAAAAAATAAGGTTGATAAACGAGTCCACCTGATGTAAAATGTATTAAGGTAAGTGATTTACGTGGCAGAGCCATGCTGCAGTTATATTAGTAGTATAGTTGTAGCACGAATGGGTCGGGTCGACCGGGTAAGGAACACACTTTCGTAGAATACCACCGTAAAATAGTAGCTTAACCCTTCAACCCCCATAAAATCCCATGCAGTCGCATGCGTCCGTCAAATCCCGAGCGTTTCCATGCGACCGCACCCACCCACAGCGCTTTAAACCATTAAAACTTATATTTAGAGACTACTTTTCTATGAAGAAGTTTGGCATTATAAAATGTATACAAAATTCTCTATCCTGTGGAGATTACAAATAAATAACCATAGATTAACTCTTTATTGCACTAAAGGATAGAAAATTTCATATTGATAATATAATGCCAAACTTCTTCATAGAAAAGTAGTCTCTAGCTGTAAGTATTTATGGGTTAAAGTGTTGTGGGTGGGTGCGGCCGAATTCGGTCACTTGGTATTTGACGGAATATCGCAGCGACCGAATTCGGCCGCTTGTAGCTAAGAGGTTAATACTGCTGTATTTCGTATGGTGAGTGTAGATAACCGGAGAATCCTTTTACTGGAAACGAGTCTTAATCCTCACAACGCATTTGCAGTTTGATTCGTAATTGAGGATATATGTAGATGTCACAGCTACCACTTACCATCAGGTGAACTCAGCATTGGCGGGATATTACGAGAATATAACAGCTGTTTGCGACGGCGCGCCGATTTAATGATGATATTACTTTAAAGGGGGATTTACTTCTGAGTAATTGTAACTCTCTCAGCTAATAAGAAACAATTTGATTTAGTCTATGTTTTAAAGCATTATCATTATTAGTCTATGATTTTTAGAGTTTTGAGGTTATAAAATGGCTTATGACATATTTCGATTTTGAGTTTTTAAGGCTTTGAGGTTAATCCGTGGAGTACTGAGTAAAATACATGAGGACGCCAATTGACAAATTTGTAGAACTCTCCAAAGAGTATAGTAATATTTAGAAGGGACCCCTCAGAACCAAAGAGTATATAATCACTACGTTAATTTAGATAAAAGTGCCCAGAACATTACATTTTTAAGTTATTACAGTGCAGTGTATATCAAGGTGTGAGCTTTTATTTATATTTTGTATATTAGATCTATGTTTTATACATTAATGTGCAGTTGAAAGTGAAATACAGCTTGAATAATATACTAAATAAAATATTTTATGAATAACGGTCGAATTTAGACCACTAGGTGACTACAGGTACATATTATTATAATTGTAAGAAATAATTATCTAGGTTTACAGTATTATACTTGCTTCTAAATATAACATCACTTAGTATTTAAGACAGGATTAATTATGTTACCTTCGCAAAGCATCCTGAAGACTACCTCGACGTTTGATACCTTGTGACAGTTTGGCGTGAAGCTGCTGGGCTCGTCCTGCAATTATCGATCATTATGTAATTAGCGTATGGTAGTGAAAGTTGGGTGTGGCAGAAGAAGCACGAGAGTAGAATAAATGCAGTAGAAATGCGGTCGTTAAGGAGTATGTTAGGGCTGAATCTGAATGACAGGGTGAAGAATTGTGTGATAAGAGAAGAGTGTGGTTTGCAAGATGATGTTGTGACCAGGATTAAGAAAGGAATGCTTCGGTGGTTTGGTCATGTGGAAAGAATGGATGAGGAAAGAGTGACAAAGAAAATTTATGTTGCAGAAGTGAATGGCAGAGTCGGAAAGGGACGTCCTAGGCGAAAATTTATCGACCAAATTGGCGATTTATTGAAAACGGGCCAAATTAGGAGTACCCTTAACCGACGAGCATGCATGCGTAGATGTATGGATGTGAAGGAGGCGAGAGAGGTGTGTCAGGATCGTGCCAAATGGAAGTCTGTAGTCTCTGCCTACCCCTCTGGGTGACAGGCGTGAGTGTTTATGTTTATGTAATATAATTAGCCTTAGAGCCAAGCCTTACTTAAGCTTTTTTTATATGTGGTTTAGCCATGCTGCAGCTATATTATGGTAATGAATGAGTCGGCTCGATCGGGAAAGGACCATGCTGTCACAGAATACGAGCGTAAAACAGCAGCTTAATACTGCTGTGTTTCGTACGGTGAGTGTAGAGAACCGGAGACCCTTTTTTACTGGAGTAGTGAGGTTAACCTTACCGTGTGAACAGAAAATGAGTAAGTTGAATTTATATGCTGTCACAGATGAATGGTGTCCGATTGCTAGTTTTTGTATCAGAAAGACGCTGTTGCACATTCCTGTTCCATTTTTTAATAACGCTCATACAACGGGATTTTTATTAAGCAATAATTATTACAAACGAACACACAGTCCACCTGATGGTAAGTGGATGATGGCCCATAGACATCTACCTTTAACCTCGATTACTTTTTCCCAGTCGAAAGAACCACGCTCTCACAGAATACCAGAGTAAAATAGCAGCTTAACGCTGCTGTGTTTCATATGGTGAGTGTAGAGAACCGGAGACCCTTTTTACTGGAAACGAGGCATCTCATTTTTATGTATTAGTCCTCAGGGGTGACAACGCATCTGCGTTTTGATTCTTAATCGAGGATAGATGTAGATGTCTTGGGCCACAACATTCACTTACCCATAAGGTAGACTGTAAAAAGCTTAGCGGTTGCTTACTTGACTCAGAAATAAAAAAAAATTTAAAAAGTATCTAAAGTCCGCCAAACCTCTAAAGCTCCGGCTATACACAGTTGCATACGCAATTTGTGCAAAAAAATTGGCACAAATAACATGGTGCACTGCAAAACGTCCACACGATAGCGTTCTGAATGCACAAATAGTATATTTAAAGTTTTTGCAAAGTCGTTTTCAAAAGTGTGTGGCGTCCGGCGTCCACACGTTGTCTTAACGTAGCATTTGTGCAAGCCATTTGCACGGTATACTTGTTTTTCTTTTCAAAACGTTACCCCCGCACTACGAATTTCTCCTGTATCGTGGAGACAGTTTACAAACATAAATTGCACAAGGACAAACATCCAGACCCGGAACAATTATTTGTAGGCCATACAAATACTTGTTCCGTGCGGGATTCGAACCAGCGACCCCCAGCGCAGCTACTCATTGCTAAGCCACTGCGCCACGGAGCCGTCAACCGTTTTGTTTCACCGGCTTAACACTATAATCCTGTTCTATTCTGATGTCTAGTCTCCGAAGATACTGGCTGACATTACTGAAATTCAGTTTGAAGGACATTAATATTACTATTATTGTTTTTACAAAAGAAGCCTATTATAGCTTAGCTTTATTGCTAACACTCCAAGTGTTTTCACTACGGACCCGAAGCTTAACAATATTTTTTATAACCAAGACAATGAAAATGTTGTTACTGTTCACTATAGATACTCACCAGGATCTCTAGCCACGAGTGCCTCAAGCACTACCAGCGTATCAACCCGCTCAGCCCAGGACATTCCTGCAAGTGCTGTTTCATACTGATCCTCCAGACTTGCTGCCAAGGAACCCAGGCTCTCCGATGGACACGACGGAGGGTTCATGGTGTCTTCGCACAGTATCTCAGCATCCGTCTGTTAATCATCCCATTTTTATCATTATTAACACTTGAAAAGATGTGTTTAAGCTTTTATTTTAATCACCAAACAGTCAATTAGTTACAATATATTGATAGATGTGTTCCAAGATACAAGTTAAAAATAAAGATTAATGTGGTAGAGCCATGCTGCATCTATATTTTTTTATAGACGAGCATGCGGCTCACCTCATGTTAAGTGACTACCGCCGCCCATGATCAACCGCAACACCAGGGGAATTGTAGGTGCGTTGCCGGCCATTTAGAAAGGAGAAAGCTCTTTTCTTGAAGGTCCCCAGGTCGTATCGGTCCGGAAAAATCGCCGGTGGTAAACTATACATTACCACAGAGAGGTTGTAAGCGGAATAAAACTCCTTTTGAAACGTACAGTGGTGGACCGCCAGGCATCCAGATGGTGTGGATGGTATCGGGACGTTTGCCGCGTAGTGCTTTCACGAAATTTGGCGGCTGGAATTAATCCGAACAATTCCTCAAATCCCTTCCCGTGGTATATGCGAAAGAAAATGGAAAGAGATGAAACATCTCTTCGCAGCGCCAGTGAATCGAGCCGATCGGAAAGCACTCCTTGGCGTGTGCCGGCATGAAATACTGTCCCGCTCTGCTGAGCACGCCAAGCTTTTTAGAGGCCAATTTGACCTTCTCTTCCAAGTGACCACGAAACTGCACTCACTCGATAAGTCGATGCCGAGGATTCCGATACTGGCTGAGGCAACAAGGGGAGTGCCTTGAAACTGAGGAGATACGACAAAGGGGTTCTTTTTAACGGTTAACGCGCAAACTTGTGTCTTCTGAGTGTTAAACTAGACTAGATTTAGTCGCCCTTAATCCGAGACTATGTTCATCAAAGACTCGACTTCAGACACAGGTTTGTCCCGGTACTCGGAGACGTTTTCCCGAGAAATATTGGCACGGCCGGTGTACAGAGCATCACCAGTGCTGTCATCATATCATTTGCAAATGATATGCAGAAGAAACAGCGTTGGCGATAGCACGCAGCCTTGTGGAACACCAGCATTAATAGGCTTGTAATCGGAGCTTGCACCGTCTACAACGACCTTGATGCTCCGATCTGCTAGAAAGCTGGTGATCCAATTGCACAATTTCTCGGGAAGCCCATAGCAAGGGAGCTTCGAAAGAAGCGCTTTGTGCCAAACCCGATTGAAAGCCTTCGCAATGTCCAACTAACGGCCAACGCCTCTCCCTTGGACTCTACTGCCTCCGCCCATCTATGACTTAGGCAGAAAAGAAGATCACCAGCTGATCGACGATTATGGTATGGGTACGCGTGATCGGAAAAGGATCACACTCTCACAGAATACCAATACAAAATATCAGGCTAATGCTGCTGTGTATCGCATGGTAAGTTTAGAGAACCGGAGATCCTTCTTACTGGCAACGAGGCATTCTATCTTAATCCTCGTACGTGGTAGAGCCATGCTGCAGTTATATTAGTAGTATAGTTGTAGCACGAATGGGTCGGCTCGACCGGGGAAGGACCACGCTCTCACAGAATACCAGCGTGAAATAGTAGCTTAATGCTGCTGTATTTCGTAAGGTGAGTGTAGAGAACCGGAGACCCTTTTTACTGAAAGCGAGGCATTCCATCTTAGTCCTCAGGGGTGACAACGCATCTGAATTTTGATTTTTAATGGAGGATAGGTGTAGGTGTCTATGGGCCGCAGCAACCACTTACCATCAGGTGGACTGTGTGCTCGTTTGTCACCCTATTCTATAAAAAAAAATCCTCAGGGGTGACAACATATCTATATCTTGATTTATAACTAAGTAAAGATGTAGGTGTCTATGGGCCACAGCATTCACTTGCCATCTGTCTGCTTGTTTGTTACCCTTGTTTTATCAATAAATATTAAAGCAACCATTTAAATTAAAAAAATTTTAATTAAGAAGAGTATAAACTCACCTCTGTATCATCAGTCTCTGTGTCTAAGTCAATATCGGAAACTTGTTGCAGCTCCATAATCTGACGATTAAGCAAATCCTCTTCCTCGCAGAGCTTTCGTTGATCAACTTCCGATTGAAAGTCCAAGGCCCAACTAATCTTCCTCTCGTTCTCTTCAATCTGTGACGTCATTTCTGCAATCTCCGACATCTCAGACGGATCAGCTGCTTTCAGAATCTCATTATGATTGGGAATTTGGTCATCTTCATCGAGATACTTAAATGTTAATTTAAATTCGGCCTTCCATTTATCGAAATCGAATGCTTCTTCGGTGCTCTCTTGAGACCTCGCTAGACCAGTCGTAAGGCTTTCCAAAGACGAATGGAGCCTGTTCTTATTCAAATCAGAATGATCCTCTTTGTTGGATTTATCTTTGATCTTCTCGGCCTTCTTTGTAAGCACTTTGTTTCTAGACGATTTAGTTTTAAGACCAGTGACGTCCGATTTTTGTCTAATCATAGCCAAGTCTTTAGACTTATTTTGAATTTTTTGTGTAGCAAGTACTTTTACGACGTTTTCAGCTTTTTCATGTTTTTCCATTTTAACAACATTTTCTGGCTGCTCAGATTTCGCGCGATCAGTTTTAGTTGCTTTGGGTAGCTCTACTATAGCGTTAGTATCTTCTTTAGGGGATTCTAGCATGTTTAATGTTGGCAAACTTGTCGTAGCGGAAGGTTGGTGAAACCTATTCGCCCAGTGAGACTTTGATTGCTTCTTTGATTCGCGACTCAGTCGCCTGGACTTGACAGTCAGCCACCCTTCATTATCATTCTTGTTGTTGTCTACATTGAGCACTTCTATCGAATTGGCAACGTCTTGTAGTTGTGTTTCCTCTGGAACTAATGTCTTCAAGCTTTCGCTGGATTCGATCCTTGACATATCTATTTGAGTCACTATCGTATCGCAGCTGCTATATTCTTCATAGTCTTTTATTTTTTCTAATGGTTGATTTATCTTATCTTTTTTATCTCCTTTTTCGTTTATTTTTAAGGCGGTTGGTCTTGGTGGACGCTTTTTATGATCTACTTTATTAGGAACTGATTTTGCGTCACCTGAGGCCATATGACTGTTTTTGTTTACTGGCCGTTTCGGCAATGGTGCTCTGTTGACAGTATTTGAGGTTGGAGTGTCAAAAAGACTAGTGCGACTGGTAGTCAAGTTGAAAGGATAGCTACACTTATTGGCTTGACTTCTTTTTTGGAATGATCTCTGAGTTTTAGGAGCTGTGTTTGGCCGCATTTCTACAACAGTAGAGCTCCGTACTAAAGCAGTTTTCGTAGGTGTTTTTACTTCTGCTTTAGCAGCGTTTGTTGGTTTAGGTTTTGCAGCCGCTTGTGAATACGCAGGCTTAGCGATTGACTTTGATTCTAAAACCACTTTGGCCTCTGGCTTTTTTAAATCCGGCTCTTTTTTAAGTTCTTCCTTACCTTCTTCAATTGTCTTTTTGATGTTAGCATCGTTAGTAAGATCTTTATCGTCATTTAAATTTTTAACATCTTGATTGATACTGATATCCCGTGCGTCTACTTCGTTTGGAAAATCTTTATTCAATTGGTGAGTGGCTTCTTTAATGGAACTGTCCTCCTTTTGGGTACTTTCTAGCAAATTTCCTTTAACATCTGTAATTGTATATTGTTTACTTAAATCATCTTTATTTTCTGTTTCTGTACAATGTTCTACAGAATTTATTTTAGACTTTATATGTGTGACAGTGGAATCTACCGATTGTGTTTTGTTATTACAAATTTCTTTTTCACTGAACTCTTTATCAATCAATTCATTCTTTCCGATTATCTGACCAGAAGTATCTACACAAGATTTAGGCGAACTCTCATTTGATACATCAGCAAAATTCTCTTCTGATATTGTAGGCGATTCATGTGGCAGCCTACCTTTCTCGTCATTTGAAGGTATTTTGTTGTCTGGATTCTCATGTTTTATTTCGTCGCTAGTAATTTGAACATCTTTCTCTTCATTCAAAAAGTTTTCATTTTTAGCCTTAACCGCTGTGAGCTGTTTTAATAAAAATTCGTTCTCCATTGCATCTAATTGAGAATTAATTTGGCTAGAATGATCAATGTCAGGCGGTGTTTTAGCATTTTTTATAGTCGGTTTGACAGTTTTTGGTGATTTTATAATAACCTGTTTAGGAGTCACACTAGGCAGTTCTTTAGCCTTTCCTATTTCAACTGTAATAATTTGATCACTCTCTTGAGGGCTGTTAGCTTCGTCACCGTTATTTTTAATATTTATTTCTGTATCTTCCATAATTATTTCGTCTAATGCTTCTTTGACATCTTTTTCTTTAATATCTGAAAGTCTTGTTGGTTCTTTGGCTGATTTGGGCTCAGGTTTAGTAGTGATTTTAGATACCACAATTTTGTTGGTAAAGAATTCGATGTTCGTTTTTGGACTAGTACTGGAATGGCATGTTGTAATCCTTGGACTAATTTTGCCGCTACCTGGACTAGCTTTGCCTGTCAAATTAGGGCTGTTCTTACCGCTTGGCGTATTGTGTCCGGATAAGCAAGGGCTATTTTTACCAGATACCGATGGAGAACTTTTTACGGAATGTGCACGTCGAGATTCCGGCCGAACGAAATCAGTTTTTCTTATCTCCCAAGCCAAGCTCTGTGGCCGTTGCGGTGGAGGAGTATTATCATATTCCCATTTCAACCTAAACCACTCTCCCAATGCTTTAAAATCACGCGTATAGTTTTCTAGTACTAATATTACTTCTTGGCACTCATTTAGGTTCTCGTGGGCTTCAACTGTATTGTAGATTTCACCAACCTGCAAATTGCATAGAAAAACATTATTAATCTGTTTAAATAATAGAAGAAAAGGATGATACTATAGTAAGGTAATTACTTATAGCGGTGTTCTAATTTTTTCAATTTGCGTTTGTATCAAGCTTTACGAACATAAGGAAATACGAATCAATAACTTGAATCTGAAAGTACTAATTATACGTATATCGACAACAATGTTAGTCAATCGATTTCATTAATTATTGATAACTTGTCGCACCAATTATTATAAAGATAGATAGAGACGTAACCACTCTTCAACAGAAACTTAAAAAGTTCAGTATAAGTTACTTAAGTTGTCGATTACTTGGTGACCTTGCACCTGCCAATCTATATATGTCTTTCGAGCGGCGGATCGATACTACTGATTTATTCTCGTGAAACAAATGTTCCAATCGATTGTAGAAATTGGAAAATTTTAAATTACACATTAACTATGTTAATTATATATACGTTTAGACTAAGATAGGTTTTTGAAGGAGTGCTTTACTTCAATCCCACTCAGTCGTAAGAGTATTTTTTTTCTTAATTTGCAACTACCAACATCTTTACTTATTCCATCTTCCTTGGGGTTGAATGGTAGAGAATGCCATAGGGTATTAAGTCCGCCCTTTGAAACCCCTTGTTGACGGTGTGTTGCAATAAAGGATAAATAAATAGGCTCTAGATGGTAAATCGCACTTAGCGGAACAAAAGCCTATTCACTCTTGTCTTGACGACCAGATTGTAATTGGAGGCATTGTCGGCAGATTATTCAACTCCTTTGCTGTACGACCCAACTAGCAAAACTTGTAATATTAAGGTCAATAAAGCTAAAAAATATACTTATGAAAGCCATATTATAATAAGGGTGGATTTGCTCGCAAATTATAAGTGAATAAATCTAAACGCGCCATATTGTGCTATGCCGTATTATCGTTGGCAGGAGATATACCAAAGTTATGTAAAATATAAATAATTTAAAAAGGCAACGTGCCACAAAGCACGGTTCCGAGCCACCTGCATCCATCGACTTCCTGCATGTCTTACCAGGTCGTCCCTCCATCTAGTGTGGAGTCGCTCTACACTACGCCTGCTTGTACGAGGCTATTCCTATCTATAAAAAAACTATACCCTACGTCATTTTTTTTCGTAGTAGAGATATGCTGCAACTATATTATGGTTGTAGCACGAAGGGGTCGGCTCGACCTGGGCAGCTCAATGCTGCTGTGTTTCGTATGGTGAGCGTAGAGAACTTGAGATCGTTTTCACTGGAAACGAGTTATTCCATCTTAGTCTTCAAGGGTGGTAACGCATCTGCATTTTGATTCTTAATCATGGATAGATCTAGATGTTTAGACGCCAAAGCATCCATTTACAATCAGGCGGACTATGTGCTCGTTTGTCAACCTTATTCTATAAAAAATCTTACATAACTAAGACGAATAGCGACACCTCGTATGTTAAAATCCATTAATCGGTTTATACTACAGCGCGTGCCGAAAAAATAAACATACATATAGGGTTGACAGCTATCCTTTTTTATAAGGGACACTTCTATTTCACACCCAAAAATTGATCGTGTTCCCTAAGTTGAAATCTTTAAAAAGTACAAGGTAATATTGCGCATATTCTACATTCCCTCTGCTAGCTGAGGTCAAAGAGTTTAAAAATCACTTTGGGGTGACGCGCAATGTTAGATAACTAGGGCCGATGCAGATGCGAAGGTAAAAAAAACCTTTTGATAGCATCGTAAACGGAGCGGAGTAAAAGTCTAAATAAAGCGCGCGCGTTTGCTTTACATGCATTTTCCCATAGACAATTTAGTTTTTGGTTATTTTTTAATATCTTTTAGACAAATTTAGATTTTTAACAAACCTTGTCTACGTTGAGCTACAAATATTGCCGAAAAAATTATAAAAATTAAATTATGTAAATTGGCCTACGGGTTACGGAGGAGATAGATTTTAAAGAATTGTTTTTTTTTTGTGCCACGGGAGCTCCGCTCCAATTAAATGTTGCTACAGATACCATAACATTATTTTATTGAAAATAATATGATATCATTTGTTTATATCCTATGTTCTATATAGAATAATAAATAATTTATACGTGGTTGAGCCATGCTGCAGTTATATTAGTAGCATAGTTGTTGACTGCCTTGTTGGTCTAGTGGTTATAGTGGCGCGACTACTGATCATGAGGTCCTGGGTTCTAATCCCGGGTCGGGCGAAAAAATTAATTATTGAGTTTTTCCGTCAAGAAATTCTCAATAGCTGCCCGGAGTCAGGAAGTTGGCGGTATATCACCCCCGCGCTTCGGCAGGCACGTAAAGCCGATGGTCCTGCGCTTAATCTCTCTCCGGTCGTGTCGGTTTACCATCCCATCGGATTATGAGAGTGATGGAATAGATAGTGCACCTGTGCTTGCGCATACACTCGGTTACTATAATCCTGTCCTGCGTTGATGGCTAGTCTCCGTTTAGGCTGGTCGCCGTGACCGAAATTCGGTCTGGAGGACATTATTATAGTTGTAGCACGAATGGGTCGGCTCAACCGGGGAATGTACATGCTCTCACAGAATACCAGCGTCAAATAGTAGCTTAATGCTGCTGTATTTTGTATGGTGAGTGTAGAGAACCGGAGACCCTTTTTACTGGAAACGAGGCATTCCATCTTAATCCTCACGGATGACAACTCATCTGCATTTTGATTCGTAATCGAGGATATATTTAGGTGTCTATGACCACAGCAACCACTTACCATCAGGTGGACTGTGTGCTCGTTTGTCACTCGTCCTATAAAAAAACAAGCTGGCAACCCTACATATATTCATACTCTCGGAAAACATTACCCTTTCTGGGGTAAAAACAGTACTTACAGCGCGTTGTAGGTCGCCGAACAGCAGGGCCCAGTATCTCGCACGTAGCTCGGAACGTTTGTCGCGGCCGGCCGACGCGGATCGCAAACGCGTAGCCCTCGGCGGAGCCCTACGCGGAGGGGGCGTAGCCTTGGGCGGCTTGCGGGACACTCGAGCTGCAGATGTGAATACATATTACATATTTCCTTAGAGATCATCTCAAACTAACACATCAGATAATTTTGCCCGTAGTATCTCTGAACTATGTACTCGTAAATAAGGTATTTTTACACGGTAGGGCCATGCTGTATATATGGTTGTAGCACGAATTAGTCGGTTCGACCCGAAGGACCACGATCTCAGAGAATAACAGCGTGAAATAGCAGCTTAATGCTGCTGTGTTTCGTATGGTGTGTGTTAAGAACCGGAGACCTTTTTTACTGGAACCAAGGAATTCCTTAGTCCTTAGGGATGACAACGCGTCTGCATTGTTATTCTCACAGCATTCCCTTGCCGTCAAGTGGACTGTTTTCACCCTTATTTATAAGATAAAACTTACGTGTCTCGTCTACGTAATTCAAGTTTTATTTAATTAAATCAATAACTATTTATTTCCAATTACTTTTTAACATTTATTAAAAATTTCCCTCGACTCTACAGTCCTGAACGCAATCAACAATACCAAATCCCACCACGAGATTGTTACAAAAAGAGAAAGTAGGAATAGCTTTGTAATATGTATTATACTGGTTCACATTATGTACGCAAATTAAAGTATTCATGGGAGAATTGACAGCTGATAGGTCATTACCAAAACACAGTACAACAGAGCGTAGGTATTTATTACAGGAAGTTCATATTAATTATTAACTACATTCAATACATTTAATCTGATAATATAGCTCATGTTAATATGGCTAAGTATGTAACCGATATCTTAATTGCCTTTTTATAGTATGGGCTGCAAACTTAAGCCGGCTATACATACCTATATGTTGGCCGAGCGAAGGCGAGTGAGTACCATCATATACGAGGTCTGTTCAAAAAGTATCGCGAATTTCGAATTTCCGCGGCCTACGTATCTTTGATTTTTGATTTTTTGTAGCCTTATGTTGGTACTTATGTCCCTTACTCATGAAGGTTAGAGAACAGGAGAACGATCGCTACGTATAGTTGCCGACACGAGTCGTGAGCACAGATAAACTGTGGTGGGAGGTAGGTACACTGTCAGGCAAAATTATTGGGTAACTTTATTATTTCAATTCGTAATTGAATTTTCGCCGACTTTTATGAAAATGTTTACTCGAACACATCAACTTTTACCTTGATACAGTAATATTGCAGATATTCGTGTCCGTTAGTTTATTATCTACTATAAAGTATTTAATCTATACCTGGTTAGAATTGATTACTTTATTAAGAGGAAGGAAGAGGTGATATGCCTTCCATAAAATCTGGTGTTGCGGTGCGCCGTACAGTAGCTACTGATACATTAGTCGCCTCAGCAGTCTGTTTCATATACGTCTATGATGTTTTTCGCAGTACCTACTTTTTCCATCTAACTAAACACTGAATAGACCATTTGTCGGGATTGTCTATTTAACACCGAATCCTTCCTTCTCTGCATATTTAGAACAAAATCTGAACACTCAAATTATAACAACAAAAATAATTGAAAACAAGAAATAACAAAAACAATTAATAACAAGGAATACACAAACAACAATTAACAACGAGGTAACAAAAACAATTAACGAAAATAAACGAATTAAAAAAGTTATCACAAAAATTATTGCTCTGAAGTGTACGGAAGCCGAATGATGTGTTCGAAACCAATAGACGATGAGAATCGACTGATGAACCAATCACGTTGTACGTCAGCGTGGTCAACGTCGTATCGACCAATAAAAAGTGTGCTCACGACCTATGTCGGCAATTATACTAAAGCATAGCCCGCCTGTCCTTGAAAATTGTAGAATACATAGCGGCGCTAACGTGGGTGAGTAGTGACTGCGAAGTTAGCTGTTTATGAGTACAAGTATGTGAAGTTAGTTGAATAATGTACAAATTTTCATTTCATTTTTTCGTAGAAATTTTTTTGTGTGAGAAACAAAATAAAGTACGCGGACGAATTCCGAATGTTGACTGTGGCATATGGTGAAGCTACCTTGAACCAAAGCAACGTTTATCGGTGGTACAAAATGTTCTCAGAGACGACGAACAGCGTGCCGGACGCCCGAGCACGTCAACAACAGACGATAACATTGATAAAGTGAAGAAAATATTATTGGCCAATCGTTGAATCACCGTTAGAGAAGTTGCTGAGGACCTAAACATATCGATTGGCTCGGGCCATTCGATTGTATGTAATGATTTGGGTATGATTCGGGTCGCCGCGAAATTCGTGCCAAAATTACTCAATTTCGATCAAAAACAGCATCGCGTTAACATTGCTCAGGAGATGTTAGACTCGGTCCGTGACGACCCAAATGTGCTCCAGAGGGTTATAACTGGTGACGAATCATGAGTTTATGGTTATGACGTGGAAACCAAAGCTCAATCATCCCAATGGAAGCTGCCGCATGAGCAAAGACCGAAAAAAGCGCGCGGTCAAACGTGAAGGTTTTGCTCACAGTTTTCTTCGATTGCTGGGGCGTGGTGCATCATGAGTTCTTGTCACAGGGTAGTACGGTCAATAAGGAATATTACCTGCAAGCTATGCGCTATTTGCGCGAAGCAATCCGCCAGAAACGACCGGATTTGTAGAAGAACAAAAACTGGCTTTTACACCATGATAACGCCCCCGCTCACACATTGTTGCTTGTGCGCGAATATTTATCCAAAAACATCACAGCAATGGTCCCACAGCCACCGTATTCCCCAGAACTCGCCCCCTGTGACTTTTCCTGTTCCCAAAACTTAAGAGGCTACGCTACGCCACGATTGAGAAGATTTTTTTTGGTTTTTATTTTGGTTTTCTACGAAACTGAAGAAGATCACGAAAAATGATTTTTTTAAGTGCTTCGAGGATTGCAAAAAACGTTGGCACAAGTGCATTATATCCGAGGGGAGTTACTTTGAAGGAGACAAAATAGATATTCATGAAAAAATAAATACTTTTTCAAAAAATACAAAATTCGCGATATTTTTTGAACAGATTGTGTAGACATCCCACACCTCGTTTGTCTAAATAAACAATAAAATAAATAAATAAATCATTTATTCTGGACCAAACATTTTGTACATTTTTCACACCCACCAAACTGCGTAACAGTTTGTCGACGGGATTATTTGGTTCAAATACGTAACTATAAACTAATGAAAATAAAAGAGTGTAAATAAAGCAAGTTTTAAATTTTAAAACAGGTATTAAACTATTATTAAGAAATATTTACAAAATTTAGCCTATTATTAAAAAAACTACTACTATTATTAAGAATTACTAACATTTGACCTATAGAAACTACTACTAATATTAGGATTTACTAATTTTTTCACATCTCGCAACAACTTCGTTAAGGAAAACAGTTTTCAATTTATTAGTGTTTGTTTACTTATTCTAGTATTATCTTCTCTCAGCCAATCGAGATAATTAAAAAGTGTGGGGGTCAAATATTTGTTGGTTCTTTTCTCATAGTAATTTTTTACTGGAGGTCGCACGATTTTACGCTCTCTAACGCTTCTAGTATTATACCTATTTTGCACTTGTTCTTTAACCTTTTGAGCGCCAAAGTCGTCTATACGTGACCAGCACCTGCGTGCCCTGAGCGCCAACGACGTCTATAGTTGACAAAAAACCCGGCCCACAAAAATATGAAATATAGACATTGGAAAATTATTACTGGTATTTTAATTCTACACCCCTCAAAAAAAGAATAACTCAGCAACATGTGAGTATAAAAAACAAGTCTCCTAGAGCCACAAGTAGTAAGAAACATTGAACTAAAAAAACTGGATTATTATCTAAGCAAATACTATGTCCAGCACGCCAAAGTCGTCTATGTAAGACCGCTAGTGTTGTAATGCGTTAGGCATTTGTTTGAATTGAATTGAAAGCTATTCAAAATTAAGCTCAAACGTGTTATTTTTTTTCTATTATTATTGATATTTAAATAAAACATAAGGTTAGAAATATAAAACTATAATTAGCTACATGAATTAAAAAAAATTATCAAATTATCTTCGCATATTAAATCTAATATCTCAACTCTGGCGCATCCTAGACATCGAAAATCAGTTCACTGGGCGCCGTAGTCTAGTATAGACGACACGCTGATGACGTTATAAGCGATTAGCGGGAAAAATTAGTGCAGTGCAATATGAACGATTCCTTAGCCTCAGAACTCATTCGGATTTTGGAAAGCGTCGACGATGATGAATTTTCGGAATCTGAATCATTACCTGAAGATTTAAGTGAGGTAAGTGTCTTAAGTTCCTAATAAATTAAACTTTTTTTTACTAACATGCATATTGCCTATTTTATGTATCTATTATTTTATAATATTTTGTTTAATTTTAAATATAATAAGTTCGATACATAATGGAACTGTTTCCCGGGCGGCTCTTGTGAGCACATTTTTTATGTTTTTGTTTTCGAGTTTAGAATAACTCATCATGTTCGTTTACTTTTATACTGCAACTAGTAGATATTTTTTCTGTCAAAAAGCGAATGGTTTAATGGAATAATTGGAATGGAGTGGAATATTGTTTAGCGAAATAAATATCTTAAGCCATATTTCACCATAATCCTTCCGAAAAGTAAGTACCGTGAGTAGACCATAAATCATAAATCAACGTAATGAAAAAGCATTAAGGTCCAAAATAGTATATCGACTTTCTACCTTTCGGTATTACAATCGTTTCGAGTAGTATTGTGAGTAGACTAAAAATTAATGTAATGGTAAAACATTAAGATCTAAAATAGCGTGTCGACTTAAGCGGGCTACATACGACACGATATCGGTGGCGATCTAGGGTGGAAAGAAATCGGGGCTTTTATCGGGGTAGACCTTACACACGGGCCTGCCTAGCAGTACGCGTTCGGACTTGGAGCGGAATGCATATGCGGTAGAGTTCTTCAAAATACCTCCGACTCTCTTAAAACACCACCGTGTTGGTTTGGCATTAGCCATCTCGGTTAATTTATTCGAAAATAGAAAAAGAGAAGTTGCTGGGT